AATTTGGGTCCCTAACTTTCTTTGAAAGTTTAATAACAAAAATGTTGTTCCACTTGGGTTGTTTTTCAGGCAAGAAATGTAAGTTACCAAAGCTGTTTGTCAAAAAACAGGAGCTCATTAGACAGAACTAGTTCCTGGGAGCTGACAGTGTTTCTGAGAGGCTCAAGAGGAGCTTAATTCTGGTGCTATTTGTCAAGGCCAAGAACTAATGAGCATTTCTGAAATCATAGTGGGGGACAAGGAAAGGATGTGGGTGGCATGCACCATCACAACCATCAGTTGTTCTTTCTGTCCTAACAGAAACAGAGAACCTAGCAGAACATGGACATAATGCCAGTAATTCAAAAACACATAAAGGAGAAAGACCTCAGGATTCAACTTCATATGGAATATGTTCTTATCAAATTGCATCATCCATCCATAGTTAAAATAAACTATACTGCATTGGAGGAAAAAAAAAATGTAATACTCAAGAAAGATTATATAAAAAGTCTTGTGAAGATCTCAAATGAATCAGCATTAGCTCTTATAGAAGCAAATCAGCATATCGTTATAGTCCCTGCCAAATTTCAACTGCTGCTATCTAAACAAATCTATATTAATTTATTCAAGTGCTTACAGTAAATTTTAATAATTCACTGCAACTGTTTCCTCCTAAATCAAACCATTGAAATCAGAATGCTTCAAATTCCTGCGGTTTTGTAGAAGCCTAAATTGAGATATATTTGAAGAAAGCTATTTAAAAGGTAATGGTCTCAAACTTAAATCTTTCCTTTAAATAAAATTTTTATCAACTAAAATCTTTTCCACTAGTAGTGGAAAATGCAGATTTTTCTATCTGCATTTCTTTCCTGTTAACATTGCTAGATTTGCCTGTTCAACCAGGAAGAACTTAACTGCAGGGTTTCCTTTCTTGCAATAATTTGCATAAATATTCTTTTAAATGTTTATATTTTTACACCTAAATACTGAGTTTGCTTTTCTAAGAGTATTTAGTAATTAAAAGCACAACATATTTCTGTATTTAATTATTACTTTTAAATGTAATTAGACAGTGTATTCCAAACTGGGACACTAGATAATTTTGAAAAATAGTTACACTTTCATGTTCATGTACTTTTCTTGCTTTTATTTTTGCAATGTTTTTTCTCCTGTCTAGTACTTTAGGGCATATACCTAAATCATAGATATTTTCTTCCCTCAGCCCTAGCAATTGAAGGAGAGGATGAGATGAAAATGGAGTCCCTCTGTCTACAGAGGCAGTGGCCTGAACAAGGCTTTCAGCTGCATTCATAGCAGGAAAGGGGTTAGTGTTTCAAGCTGAGGGTGTCAGCAAATAAACCCTTGTTTTTAAAGGGGTTTTTTTATTCTTGTTTACCAGAAGTGCTTACAGATTTTACATATTGGCAGAGAACATTAGTTTTACGGTGGTGCAGCATGGTCTAAAGAAAAAAAAAAAGGCTTGAGTGGAGCATATGAATAAGTTTGCATGTATTAATATTTTTTTAAATAGATAGTGATTGTTGAATTTTATCTGCTATCATATTGCCCTTTCTTGAAAAGTTATTTTAGAGCTTTTCACCTTCAACCTTTATTTTTATGACCTCGAATAATGCATTATCAGGTTTATCGCCTCTCTATTCACCAGATTTTTATCATTATTTTAGAAATATTCTTGACTGCAGAACTCAGTGGGCTTTCAGTCCTTGCTTTGTAAAAACTGACTTTTAATTCCCACATGTTGGTAGCCCACCTTCTACTAGTTATTTGTTCAAGGCAACAGTCCCTGTCCTAAAACTTCTGGACAGCAATTTAAACCTGCTTCTTCTGCATGTTTCTAGTGAATACTGAGAACAGTTTTGAATAGTGAGAACAATTTATTTTTTTCTCTGACTGCGTAATGACTTTGAGTTTGTTTATTTGAAAGAATGACTGGTCTTATAAAGGGTTTTCCCTTTGATTAGGAGATCTACTCTCCTTATTCCCTGCATTTGACTGTTTTCTGATTGTTTATGTTGTGGAGAAAGCAATGGATTTGCTGCATCTACATTCTCCATTCTCTTTTATGCCCATAGCAGGGAATAACTCACACAGAAAAGTAACAGGCAATTATATTCCCTTATCAGACTGGAAGTTAACCAGCTCACAGTAAAGTCCTCAAAGAAAGAGAGCAGTAACCTAAATGAGTTCTGTATTTAATATCTTAGTCAGTCTCCAATTACAAGTGTATCTCAGATTTTCCACAGCATCAAAGGAATACTGATCCATTTAACAATGCAATAGTCTATAAAGCAGCTGTCACAGCAGTAAAGACAACCATTTTAAAATCTAAGTTTGTGTATACTGATTTGAGTCATTAGTCTTTCAGCCCATTTTATATGGTTTAGTAAGTATTGACCTCAAGGTATTTTTAATTGGCGAGACTGCAACTGTCCCTTATACTGCACTTCCTCTCAAGTGCTTACATGAATGCTTCATTTAATTGCTGACCTTGCTTTGTTCTCTTCTGGCACTCTTCCTGTCTTAGGAGCCAAGGGAAGGAATTAGAGTTCTCGGGACCTCATATGTTTGGTGGTACTTCCCATTCCCTGAATTTACCCTTCTTTCCCTGGTAATGATGTTAGTCACTAATGAATAGTCAGTGCAAAACTGCTAAACCAAGGCAGTCTTTGTTTTCCTTCTCAGCTGAGAAAATATCAGTAACCAAATAGCGTGCATGGAAAGCAGTTGATCAGTCATGCTGTCTTCCTGCAAAAGTACACTACAAGCATGAGAGAGAACAGGAAATTAGCATGCATCTGTGAAAAGGTGTAATCCATTTTCATTGATCCAGAAAAGATCAGTTGAATGGCTGAAGAAATGACAGAAAACATATCCCAGGGTTGTTTCCTCCCTGGCATCCTCCCCTTTTGCATCCAATTTAATGAGTACTATTTTCCTAAATTCTAATTCTTTGTTTCATTCATGTCATTTTTAGTAAGTACTAATTTGCTAAAAAAAAATTACACAGAATGTATCATCTCTACACATCATTGGATAGAACTAGGGAGTTCTGATGTATTCTGGGACATCCTTAGGGAGCTAAAAAATGCTATAGAATTTCATGAAGAGAGCATTATAATTAATACATTCATAATTTGGTCCCTCTTTGGTTTTAATCAGAACTGTATAGTTATTGTAGCATATTATATTAAATGAAAATCTCCTAGTTACTTTACATTATATTGCAGTGGGAAAATATTATACATTTCATTACATAGATTTTATTTTATTCATTAAACGACTAAGTAGTTTGCTTGTTTTTTTTGGTGTATTGCTTATTTATCAAATTTTCATTGTGACTTCAGGGACATCTTTTCATTAATGCAAATTTTATTTAGAACAGAATCATTTAGTTTTTCTCCAGGGTAGCCTATTGCTAAACGGGACCAGATATAATGGAATATGTAATAGCAGGAATGTTGTAGGCACTCTCTGGTCTGAGCCTCTGAGTATTTCAAAATTCCATGTACAAAACAGGTTGAATGGAACCCTTTCACTTGCATGACCATATGTATATGCAAAAAAAGATTTCTTCATGTCACTAACACAGGGAGAGTCTGCAGCCAAAAAACAGTTTGTCACAAGCAGTTGCAGTACCCTAGATATTGTTGCATCTGGTTTCATCACACAAGCAATACCTGGCTCTGCTAATACTGGGTTGGGAAACCACTAAGATGTTTTGAGGAAAACAGGGCGATGACTGTGACTGAATTGTTATTGAGCATGGAACTGAACCAATATTGTTGCATAGCTCTAAAGCTCAATTTTCTTCCTCTGTGTGAAATACCAAAAACACCGCAAGAGTTACTCTGTCTTTTTGGTCATGATGGAAAGAAGAGAAAAAGAACTCCCAAACCATTAAATCAAAAAGGGGAAAAAAACCCACAATTGCTACAATACATAGAAATTCAACTCATATGAGCAGAATATACTGGCTATAATGGAAATAGGTGCCATCACTTCCAGATGACTTTCAGAATTTTTAATCTGGGCATTTACTCTTTTTTGTTGATTTGTTGCTTGCTTCAGTTCCATACCTTTTTCTCCTTCAGGATGTTTGCACTATCATCCTTCCATTTTCCCTATTTGCTTTCTTTCTATGTTTTCATGGACCTTTTATTTCTTTCTCTTCAGTTATTTTTTCCCTTTCTTTCTTACCCTAATAAATTCCTTCTGTTCTGTCTAAATTTTCACCACAGGAAATAAACAAGTATACACAGCTGCCAAAATAAAATAGAATAGAAGAAACCCCACACTTCTGTGAACATGTCAATCTTGGCAGGATTAATTCATGTAACAATAAGAACAGGTGTCCATATTTTTCTTTCTGTGAAAATAGTGTTGTGCTATTGACAACCAAAACTTTGAAAAATAGAAATCCTGTTCCTTTTTTTTTTCCATTTGTGATAAAGTGATATGCAATCATACCCTTTAAAGCACTTTCTTGCTAGATATATTGAGTTCTTAGCAAGTGTGGTGGGGTTTTTTTTGTTGTTGTTTTTGTTTTGTTTGTTCATGGTGGCAGGGACTTAAATTGATAAGTGGTACCCAATTGCTAAAGAGTTAACATTTTCTACAGTTTTGTTGCCTTCCAATACTTCCACTGTAGTGGTGAAATGGCAGTAGAAGGTTGGCAAAGATTCTAAAATTCTTTTTATTCAAGAAGTGCATCAGTTTTTGATAAGGTCAAATGGGTAGCTATTGGTTAAGTTTCTTGGGTGGAAATATTCAGCAGACTAAAGGGGAGAGAAGACACCTGTATGCCAATAAAGCAATTTTCTGAGTTTGAATATGTTCTGCTGGTTTGGACCGGATAGAACTAGAGTGTTGTTTAATGACAGGAATGAATAGAGCTGGGTTGAGTTGGCTGAAATAGTCTGCCTCAGGAACAGTCTTGAGCTCCCTGGTATGCTCCATTCACTAATAAGTGACAAGAGTGAATGACACGGCACTGCAAATCAAGAGTCAATCTCTTTATTGTCAGAGAACTAACATTCTTCAATGGCATCTTAGCATTCAGAATAATCTCTCACCTGAGCCTCACTTAACTATAAGAAGTTAAAATGTACTGCCAAATGTAGCATTGTACATGCAAATAATCAAAAGTGTTTGCTGTAATCTGAATTCCAGATGCTCAGCATGCTGTCTCAAGGGCTAGACCCATGCGTATGCTTTTAATGAAAGCACTTAAGCATTTATCTTATGCATCTATACCTGTTCACATTTGTACATCTATGTACAGAAGTTATTTTTTATTTAACAAGAAAAAAAGAGTGTGAAAAATCTAAAGGTAATTCTTGATAAAAGACATAATAGTAGGGTTATCTCTTCCTTTTGATTTGAGTCCAATCCTCTAATCTCCTAATATATACATTTTTGCATTAGACTATGATATTTGATAGCAAATAAATATTCCTAAACTTGTCCTATATATCTGTGGTATTCAGAACTCCAGGAAGTAAAATAATTTAACTCAAAACCATCATGAATCTTGTATTAGAAAGCAACTTTGACCATTTTGAGGCATTATGACTAATAAATAGTAGGTTTGGGAATCTGAAAATATATTCACAAAATATACATTCTTTTATATCTTAATCTTAAAAACAAATCTTTCGAGGGCTGCAAGATGGACGTTTATTCTAATGTAGTCAAGTACATGGGCTGTGGGGAAATAATTTGTTGCAGCAAGAGTTACAAAGGACTGTCTGGTACACCACCTGGAGCACATTCTCACTCTCCTTGTCAGACCTTGTTGCTTGCAGGATCGTTTCTCACACTTTCTCCTTTCTCTCATCTCTTTAAATATACTCTGATAGTTGTGTTTCCATTGTGGAGAAGGCTGAAACCAGCTGAGCCTGGGACAAGACTCATTTTGATCTCCTGTCAAAGCAGCCATCCCTGTAGCCCTCATGTTGCCACCTACACACAATACAAGTGGAATTTCAAAGACGCATTTAGTTTCTCAGGCCGTTTGCAGCCATTAGAATTTGGACATGCTATGTCTTTGATCATAGAATCATAGAACTCCTGGCTTGGAAGGGACCTTGAAGAACATCTCCTTCCAACACCTCTGCCTTGGGCAGGGAGTTTCCAATCCCAATGGGGATTGGGCCAGGTGTCTCAATCCCCCTCCAACCTGGCCTTGAACACTTTCAGAAATGGGACATGTACAGCTTTTCAGGGAAATCTATTCCAGTACTCTCACAGTAAAGTATTTCTTCCTAATATCTGTCTAAACCTATCTTCTTCTAGTTTAAAAACATTGCCTCTTGTCTTGTTGCTATATGTCCTTGTGACAAGTCCCTCCTGCATTCTTGTAGGTCCCCTTAAGGGACCTACAAGGTAGTGGAAGGGTGCTATAAGGTCTCCTTGGAATCTGCTCTTCTCCAGGCTGAACAACCCCAACTGCCTCAAGCTGTCCTCACAGATTAAGAGTTCCAGCACTCTGATCATCTCTTGTGGCCCTCTTCTGATCTTGCTTCAGCAGGTTCACATCCTTCTTATGCTGGGGAACCCAGAGCTGTATGCAGCCCCCCAGGTGGGGTCTCAGGAGAGAAGAGGAGAGGGAGAAGAACACCTCCCTCACGCTGCTAGCCATGCTACTTTTGATGCAGCCCAGGACATGATTGGCTTTCTGGGCTGAAAACACATTGCCAGCTCATTTTGAGCCTCTCATTACCCAACACCCACAAGTCCATCTTCTCTGGGCTTTTCTCAATCCGTTCTCTACCCAGACCATATTTGAGCTTGGAATTGCTCTGACCCAGATGCAGCACGTTGTACTTTTCCTTGTTCAGCTTCATGAAGCTCACATGGGCCAACTTCTGCCTGTCAAGGTCCACCTGGATTTCATCCCTTCTCTCCAGCATCTCAACCAGACCACAACCTTGGTGTCATCAGCAAATTTGCACTCAATCCCACGCTCTGTGTTGCTGAAAAAGATATTAAACAGCATTGGTCCCAATACTGATCCCTGAGAAACAATGGTTTCAAGTCATGCGGAATTATGATAAAGATAAAAACTTTGGATGCATTCTCAGTCTTGTGTCCTTAGCTACACTGAGTGAGTGTTTCTCAAATTATGTGAAACTCTACCAGTAACACTATTCTATGGATAGTTCAGTGCTTTGAGAGATGGCCCAGTTTGCCCCAAACTTTTCTCAATATACAAAATTATGAAGATATGTTTAAAAACTGGGATCAACTTCTCCTTTAGGAACATATCAGACTGACCATTTTCAGATTGAAAAATTGAGCAGCTAGCTCAGAATTGCTAGAATATGCACTTAATATGTGGGATAGTCTGGTACAAACTCCAGTTCCAATTGCAGTTGGAAGTTGGTACGAGACTGTGGGCTATTTTGCAGTCTATGTCCTTCCTTTTTGTAGCAGTTCTACTTTTAGAAAAGATATATGCCTGGGTATGCCTGTTATCAAATAAAAAGAGAGACATTATCCCAAGATATTTAGAAAATTTATACATTTCCAGCATTCTGCTATGATTTTGGGTACATGCCACAATCAGTAAAATGTATTTTACTTTCTTCATCATGCATACTTGTTTCGCATAAATTCTAAGGTGAAAGAATATCTTGAGCCTGAGGAAAAGTCATTTATTAGATTTTGTTCATTTAGCATTAAAACAATGGACAATGGCCAAAACATTATATATAGAGAATGACCATATTTAATGTCTGTAATTTTCAGAGACTTTGCCAGGGTATTGGCAGCAATATAGAATGCTTTGAAGCAAGGCCACTATTAAAAATACAGTTGTTGGAAACATTTGATAGTGATTAGGTTGTTACCAGCATTTGAAGCCTAAATGAAGGAGAAAATACAATAACAAGATGAACAACCCTGAGAAAGGATTTCTTCTTCAACTGGAATCATTAAACTCTGAAACCTAGCTTTTCAAGGTCCTTCATTCTAATCCATTATCTTTCATTCCCCTTTGTGCTGCAAAATTGTCAGTTTGATGATATATTACACATAACAATGTCATTACATTGGCATAACATGACAACTGGGACTCATTTGAACTTTTAGAAATTTCTAATCCCTAAAATAAATTATGAACTGAAGACATTTCAGACATAGAAAATAAGTCACTTGTTAGAAAGAATAAGGTTCTTCATATGTTTTGGAGAATTACACTTTTCTGAGACATTTTCTTTTTCTTAATGTTTTTTTTTTTCTTAATGCATATAATAAACTTACCAGGAAATATAATCCATAGATGTCCTTAAGCTTCTTGTCCTCAGGCTTACTGAAGTAATGAGTCCTCCTGTAGACAACAACTCATCTACATGAAATCTCACCGCATTTTAATTCATTTTCCTGGAACCAAAATAAAAAGTTTGCCATAATTTTGATCAGAAAAATTGTTAACTGACCCCTTAACTGCTCTTACTTTAGTTTTTTTCTTACCTTTAAAAAATTTTGGGTGCTATTTCTCTCTTCCTTCTCTGTTGAACTGTTTTGATTCTTGATTTTGGGTATTCAGTGAGACATATAGCAGACAGGAAATAGCAGACAAAGGAGTTTGGGGTCAACTGTTACCAGATGTATGCATCCTCATTGTTTCCAGCCTGCTCAGCAGCTCAGTACACAATCACAACCCTTGAAATGCCGGCCTGTAACCACAGTGCCTTCTGGTCAGTCACAACTTTTGGACCAACAATTTGCAGCAATGGAAGATGCTTATCTTGAATCTTCTAGGCATATTTCCCTACTGAAGTAAAGCCTATGCAGATAGTTTCCAGGAAGAAAAGTCAAGGAAGGCTTATCTCTTTGCACTGTTGGTGAAGAAGGAATTCTGTGGATCAGTTTCAGGTAGAAGACAGTTCAATTCCTCCGAATTGTTTTCTGGAGCAGTATCTTCAACAAGGATATCTTGTCTCTGGAGTTATGTTTGGATGCTCTCTGACATTTGGAAGGCTGAGAGTGTTTATCAGTTTTTTGCATGCTTTGAAAGCTGCAGAACTTGTCTGGACCTTGCTGGTTGCATGTAGCAGTCTGTTTTGGGACAACACTTGAATGTGGTTGTACCGCTTCAACCACATTTGCTCTCTTGTGAGAAAAGGTGGTCAATGGGTTTCAGAACAGTGGCCAACTTCATGTTATCATTCAGGTGCTTTGGTTTATAGGAGATTGAAAACTAAACATGAAGCTGGAAGTGCAATTGTAGATATTTTTAGGGTCCTCTGCAGCTAGAATTCTGATGCAAGCTGTGTGCCTGTTTCTCTTGCAAGCTACTTTTTAATGAAGCATGTTGTGAATGTGTCTTGTACTGGAACATAAACATAACTGATGGCTCTATCAGGAAATGTGTATTTTCTGTACATTATAATAATGTGACATAAGGGATAGCCAATTCTATTTCAAATGGTTGTGACTGTGCCTCCTACTAGGTTTAGGGTTCATTTTAAAATTTTTAATAATATTATTCTTGCTCTGTAGTATATTGTAAAGTTCAGCAGATGTAATGTTCAAATTTTTAGTCTCTTGGCTTTACAAATAAATATAAAATGTGTTTTCATTTTGCAGCTAGTATTTTAAAGCTTCTCACAGATTTGCATGATGATTCAGCTCAGCTTTACCATTTTGCTGAATTAGCACAGTTAGTAAGGAAATAGCACTCGTTTCAATCAAAGCCCATAGTCTTTCAGATTTTGAGATCTGCTTGAAGTAGCTGTAACATGTGTGCAAAAAAAGTGAAAATGAGTGGATTTTTCGGATGCCTTCAGCTTGAAAGTTTTTACCTGGTGCTGGAATAGCTTCAACCTACTTTGCCTATAGGCTGCTTGTCCTGCAGAAATATTTCCATGGGGAAACCATATTCTGTGTAGTCTCTTCTAATGTTTTCACTTACATGCTACTTTTTTGCAGGTAGCAGCCAATATATTCTGGTAATGTGTGGGGTATACACTCCCTCTTTTTTTGTTTTGTTTTTTGGAAAGGACATATGCAAAAGTTTGGCTAAAAGTATTCATTTTCACTTGAGAAGGGATGATCCTAATATCACTCTGGTGTTTTAGCATGCACTTTGTGCTGATACATTGCCCACTTTACAGTTTAAGGGATATGTGAACAGATGCTCCAGTTGATAGCCTGAAGTATAATGAAGCTTTGTCAGAGTAGGTTGTTATAGAAATAAATGCATTATATCAAGTGTTTCTTCCATTCCATGTTACTTGAAACTGAAATAAAAACTGTTATTCCAATAGCATTCTGTTAGGATTAAATATCTTAGACGTAGACAGAAAGTCATAAAAGTCTTTTTCCTTCAAATGCCTGAACAAATATATATAGCCCTGCGAATTTTTTTTAAATGCAAAGGTTGGTACATACAAATTGGAAAGAAGGGTATGTAGAAGAAAAAACAATGTGTAGAAGATTGTAGGAGAAACTGTTCCAAATGAACATCAGGTTGCATGAGTTTAACTGAACTAGAAGGTTATTTCCTTGTGTTGAAACACTAAAAAATCTTTCAGTACCATTTTTCAGGGATCTAAACTTAAGTTTCTATCTTCCTAAAGGCAAAAATCCCCCAAATCTTATATATGTAAACCAAGTATTTTTTCTTTGGGTAATTTAAATCTTAAATAGCTATTTGAAGAATATTTATTCCTTCAAATAAAGGAATATAGGAAATGAAAGGAAAATAAAGAGAAAACAAATTAACAAACTCTCTTTTATTGTGGAAGAATCAGTAATAGTAATAAAGTAAAATTATTAAACATGGACTTCTTTTTATCTACTCCTTTCCTTGCATTTATATTCACCCTTCTACTGCTTCTTGGCCTCTTGCAGTTGATATCTTCAGTTGGACATGCAAGTTTTCAGGATCCTGAGTGCATTGACAAGAGCAATATAATGTTAATGGTAACTGCCTCCCCCTCACTGTAGGAGCTGGTTTGGGTCATTTATTTGTTCTTCTAACACACCGCACAAACTTTGCTCTTTCTTTGCAGGTCTGTAGGTCCATGTTAAAGCTGAATTTGGTATATAGAAAGTGTGTTGCATATACTGGGCACTTCTTGCTTTTTTCCTAGTTACTCTGCATTCCTTTAATTGTCCATAGTTAAGTTTACAGGTCTAGGCTCTCTAGAGCCAACCCTGGGTCACTTCTCTTACCATCCCATGCCTGGGTTTCTCTACATTCCACGCAGTTTCCAACCCGCTATTAAATCCTCCACTGCCATAACAAACCTGCATTTCTCTGCTTTAGACTATTATGTCAGAGCCATTACTATTTTGTTCTACTTGTTGCAAGAGTATGTACAGGATTACAGTTATATAATACAGAGCTGTACAAAAATAAAGCAAACCAGTCATAGACACCTAGTCAGGCTTTTATAGCTGAACAATCGAAAACAAAGTTCCAGGCAGGTCAAGAAAAGTACAAGTTATTCCTGACAAAGCTAATTTCTGAGTCCTTGCAAAACCAGTGCAAAACATATGGCCTAGTCTTTGCAATACTATGTTTGGTGGGCTATGGAGTTATACTGACCTTGATGTAGTGCACCTGGAGGGGAAGAATGCAGTTTATGAATTCCAGTAAAGGAAAATTTCATATTCTGAAAAGACAGAACTCTTAAATGTTTTTAAAGTCTGTGAGTTGTTTTTGTTCGTTTGTCTTTCTAAAGTTTTCCTGAATTTCTTTTGTTGGGATGAGATACATTTAGCACCAAGCAGCTTTTGTTTCCTTAGCTGTGGCATTCATATTCCTTACTTGCCTTCTGATTAAGGTGCCTCTTGAATTTATTAAGCTGCTTTTTTTAATATATATCTGTTGCATGTGAAAAAAGTCTTCTGTGTAATATTTAATACACCATAGAATCCATGACAAGGATTGATTTTATAATTTTTTTCCTTATTTAAAACATCTTAGAAAATAAGTAAGGCAAAAACCATGAATTTTTCTTTTAAAGGATGGAATTGACCAATTTGTATTTACAAGCCTGTGTATTCACATTATACACACCAAATAATAATATTTCCAGTACTCATCAAGTCACAAATATATAAGAAAAAACTGTGTGATTCTTATATTTCACAATGATTCATCAGAGCTGAAATGATTTGAAGTTGAAAAGATGCATTATAATTTTCTAACTCTCTCAATAATCAGTATTGAAATACACATTCTAAAATCGGAATTGAGAATTCACTATTTTGCTTGCAATTCCACCCAAAAAATTAAGAACATTTTAAGTGGTCTGGGTGATCTATCAACAGGAGGATATAGCCAGAATAATTGCTGTAACGAGAGATTGTTCTCAGCCTCAAATAGAAGAGCTGGACATTTAGATGGAAATAGCCCATTATTTATACCTTTATCTCAAAACATATGCTGTAATTGGATACTTAAAGACAAGACTGTGTACTTTAAAACACCACAATCAGTACATGAGTTACTCTTGTTTGTGAGAGAGACTTGCCTTAATCTTGAAAGCTCATCTAGATTGCAGTACAGTGATGTGTATCCTGCTGATTCAGACACCAGTTGTCTCTGTAACAAACTTTCCACACCCACCTAGGTCCTTGAATTGGTTTAAGTGTCTGAACTGGGGGTGGAGGTGAAAAAAATAAACAAATTTATACATGTACACACACACACACACACACACACACACATACATACACACACACACACATATATACATATATATAGATAAATAGATACTAAACCAGTATTTCCTTTAATTTTTCTGTCACCTAACAGTGGATGGATGATTTATGTGTTTTCCTCAAAAACCATATAAATATGTAGTCAAATGCTTGAGCAGCCTCGCTGAATGTGGGAAATAAATTCATGTTTGCAAAATTTCAGGGTGCAGCATGAGAACATACAGACCTTGAGGTTTGAAATCAAATCAAATAAAACATCATATTGTGTTATTTACAGGTACAGCCTCCCTTTGAAGGTAGTAATTTTAATGCATTAAAGTGACTTAGCCTGCTAGCCCTGTTTTTCTATGACTACACCTTCTTAAAAGAAAGCTTGAAAATCCATGTTATAATATTCTAAATGGCATTTAATTGTGCACATTTTACTGAATAATTTATTACTGTTAAGCTCCCTCCCCTAAATAATTTCAAAGACAAAACATCAAGGACTCTCATGTAGGGGTTTTTTTAGAGCTAAAGTGTTCATCATCTCTCCTTCAGCTACCCCATGAAATCTCACTTTTTAAGTGGCAAACAAGGTGGATGAAGACATTATTAATCACTGAAAAAAAATTGAGATCTATAACTGTTTTTGTAAAACATATTCAATTTGCTGTTGTATACCAGCAACCACTTGTATGCAATAAAAATAAATAAGAAATAACTTTTAAAAAGAGCATATGATGAAGAACTGCTGTAGCTGCTTATTCTGTTTGACTTTGAGGAGATGTTGAGTAGATGGCTTACATAGCTAATTCTCTTTGCCAGATTTACCAGGTGAGCTTAAGAAAAACATATATAAAAAACTGAGGCTTTGGATGGTATAACCTTGTATAGCATTTTATCTTACAACAGAACTTCTTGTCTGAGCACCTAGATTCCTCCTTAATGCTGCTTTTATGAGTGAATTTAAATCAGTCTTTACTCTGCATGCAATGAATTCAATTTTGTACTGAGTGCTTGCCGACAACTCATTTTTTGTTCTGATTTTTGTTAGCATTCTGTAGATATTCCTGTTATTCGCATTTATCCTTTTCCTTTTTGTTCCTCTTAAAAAAAAAAAAAAAAAACAAACAAAAAAACCAACAAACAAAACATTAGGTCTCCTATGATCAGGCTTTGCAGAGTAGAAGAGTGAAGGAAGTTTTTGAATGCTGGGGATTTATTTTGATTTGTTTTTGTTGTGGTGTGGCAGAAATGCAGTAGGTTGCAGCCAGTCAGATTATATTCTATTACACAATTACCCTGGGAGTCTTAAGTGCCCACTGGGGATCTAAGAGCACTCAATGAAAGAATTGTGTGGATTTGTGCTGTGGCAGCAAAAAGGAATAAAAGATGCTTTGGATGCTGTAAAGTTAAATTGATCCCCACAATGACAAGCACCAGCAATAGACAAGGTCGTTGAAAATTCTGCCCTTTTACAGAGCACTGAATCTTTGACCCAAGGTGAATCACCCTTCCTCTTTATGCAAAATGTGGCTAAATTTGACCTGGGTAATGGAGACACTGACACATCCGTGGTGACTGAAGCTAGTCTTTTCACCTTTTTGCATGTGTACTTCTCAAGTAACAGCCACCTGAAATTGCAAATGCTTCTAAGAATAACTTTTTTCAGTTATGTCCAAAGCATGCTAAAATTTCCTAGGCAACCATCTGCGAACATGTGTCAAAATCCACATTCATTTTAAATAAGGATGAAGGACTTTGTGGACTAGGCACTAGATTTCGTGAAAACTGTTCAGGAAAACTTTAAAAGTGAAAATATTTTATCAATATATTTATTGCAAGTAATTCAATACCGCAGGTTATAATTTGTATTGTAGAAAATCCCAGCTAATGCTCTTCAGAAGCTAATATTTGATTTTTGTTTAGGCTACAACTGATTTCTTTAACCCTTTTGATTTTTCATAGATCAATTTACAAGACATGAACCAAAAATTAAAATCATAGTCTATTGAAGAGATTGCAAGGGAAGAAATAAAATTAAAAATTCTCTGCCATTAAAAATGTTGTGAAAGAACTTTAATTAATTTTAAGCTAAAAGTACTTTAGAAAAATTAGAAACATTCTTGATTTTCACTTAATTCATCATTATGGGCCTTACTTGATAATATATTTTACAGCTAAACTTTATGTATATCTTGAACTCCTTATTCAGCTAAGCACTCTGGCCTTGCCAAATTGAGAGTGTTGGTACCCTGTAGTCCCCAGTCTGGAAGCTATTTCAATTCTTAATGCTTATTGATTTTATTGAAGGTTATTCGGTGGCTCGAGTGTGTTTTAGTGTGCTTACAGGAAAGCCATGTTGTTAAATTAAAATTGCACTCCTCTAAATTTTTGCTTAGAAGCAGTGTACACAATATTTTATGTCCAGTTTAGCAGGTCCAGAGACAGTTTGTGAAGCTCACAGCTGTTCATCAGCAGTTGGATTGTTTCACTAATTAATGTATTTTGTGGTAGAGCTAAAATAAGTACAGGTGAAGAGGCACAGTTGTTATTTTGACTCTTCATTTTCCTGTATGAATATTTATCCTACCTTGAGCAGGTGCATTTGTGTTTTATGCATTTGAGGAGTCTATCCTGACTTTATGCCAAAATGTCATGTGTTGAGTAATTGTAATGTTGTCCAAACTTCTAAAAGGCACCCCTAAATAAATACATTCATTAGCATTTTATACTTTGCATTATGATTTTCAAATCTGTATTTAAAATTAGGCCAGTGAACCTTCGTTTTATTGAAGTAGCAGACCATATGGTATCATATAAGTGGTACAAAAAATGGTTACAAAAACCTCTCATATTCTTTATCATGCTCAACATGCTTCTTCTGCCTGTTTCATGGCTTTCTAAATTCTGTAATTTACCACAGTATTTTCCACCAGGAAGTTAGGTTAAAAAGCTATATCTGATATAAAGAATTTATTTGTTAATATGACTACACATTTTTCTGAACTGCATCATGATTTAAGGGTAGTGTTTTAATCACATAGAAATTTCATTACTGTTTTCATTGATGGAGGACATCCAGATTTGACTTTCTTTAATTTTTTCTTGTCATCATTAACAATTTAAAAGGTTCAAAATTTATTATATTTTTAAATGCATAAATAAATAATCAATAAGTTAAAATACAACTATAAATTTCAGATCTGCACACAAATGTTCAAAATATTTTTAAATTACTTGGTATTTTTGCAATAAAGTAATCTAATCACTGTTTCAAAAAAATCACAATAGTCTTCAGAATTTATTGAAATTATGTAGAGAATGGAAGTGTTTGTCATGAACACATGTGCTGCATATAAAATACTAACTATTGGTTCCTCTGTTTTGTGCACACATATATTCTGCTTATGATTTTTTTTTTCTTTTTGTTTGTTTGCTTGGTTTTATTTGTTATATTTGATTGTTGCTTTGTTTTGGGGGGCATTGTGACTATGGATCTACTTAGTACTTTCTGACTAAGTAGATTAAACATATAGTTGAAAACCAAAATTTTTTTATTGATGAGTTTACATTTATCTGTTAAACACAATTAATTAAAACAACACAACAAAGGATTTGGACAGTGTTTTAAATTACAGAATTTGATAAATAATATCAAAATCCTTTATTTATATAATATAGCATGAGTGTCAGGATCTATCTTGACTTTTTAGAGAAGGCTAATGCAGAATGGATATTGAAACCAGGAAAATTTTTTATTTCTTAGTATAAATCTTACAATGTGGTGGCTGAAGGAAATGATGATTCACTTTATGATGGGGGATTAAATTTGTGTAACATGCTTTTGAGACAGACATTTTATATTTTGAAATTTAAAAGTGATATTCTGTTTTGCGTATGACAAATAATATGAAGATAAATAGATTAATTCAATGTTAATGCACCTGTGTGTAGAAAGTTTCCTAAATATATGAAGCTATTTAGAGAATGATCATTTACCACTCTTCAAGGAAGGGGGCAAAAAAGTCTTATGAAAGTTAAGCAATGAATTTTTTAAAGAATATTGTTAAATCATGTACTAGGACTAGTATGTAGCTGTAATAAGAATACTTAATAAATTCTGTTTGGAGGTTTAAGACAGAAAAAATACTTGAGACCACTAGCAGGAAGAGTTTACTTAAGCTTTAGCCATCTTTTTTCAGTTGCTTCCCAAGCCTGCGCTCAGTTGCATGCTGACTTCTCTATGTTCTATTTCCATTTTTGCTTTGCATCTTCTGAATACCTCATCTTTGTCCATCCCAAGGTTCATCTAGTCTTTTCTCCTGATTAACTTCTGCTTAGAGTCATCAAAGAGAAATCCTTGCCAAGGATCCATAGGCAAATCCTTGCTTTTTGCAGAAATTTTCTGCAAAAGGAATTTTGTCACATAGGAAGTGTTGAGATAATGCTCTTTTGTCTTCAATCTCTTCAAAAGTGAAAATACAGAACCCCCTTTCTTCTGATTTAAAATTGTTTCAAAAATACCTTTGTATACATTAGAATATTTCACTTGAGTAACATTAGTACTAAACTGTATGTTAACCAGGTATTTCTGATGACTGATGAAGGCACTATTGTCTCTTTTATCTCATTCCCCTTTATAGCTCCTGCTTTCTTTTGCCCCAACAAAATGGGTAGGTTACACTGAACAGGTGCTAATTTTCCATTTCACCCTGATTTTTAGTGGGAAATATTCTGTAGAAAACCCCCTCCAGAAACCTCTTTCAAATAATGGGTTTGGATGAAACAGATTTTTCTTTGAGGGGGACATTCTATGAATGCAATGCTGCTAGAGTATATGGAAATTCCTGTGGAGATTAAAAAAGAAAATAGATTCTCAAGTCTGGTTATGGCCCTTTGGCTCCACTGAGACTCTGTAAATGACTTTATCCAACCATAAATAACCAGAGGAACATTTTCCTGCAGGCACATCTGTGCCACTGATGAGCCATTAGTTTTTCCCCTTCGGGTCCTGCGCTGGTAGGAGGCATGTTGAGAAAGATGTAGCTGACCTTCATCACTCCAGATGAATCCTATAGTGGCCCTGGCTTCATTAAAGACCAGTGTCACTAGCATTACAGTGGCCATAGAGCAGATTGTCAGATGAAGAATATCTGCTCTCTAAAGACCATCATCATTTGTACTGAGTGAAAACTGTGTAGTTGAGTCATAGCTTAATTTTGAATACTTCTATGTACAAGAGTTTTTGGCCTAGTCTGTAACTGCAGTTAATTCAGTACTTGCTCAGGTCATTCTCAGTAAGGAAATCTGCCATTTCAATATTACTCCATGAACGCTTGAACAATACGAGTTACATTTATTAGCAAAGACTGCTGCCTAATGGAGAGAATCAGGGTTTTTTTACGTAAGAAATCTTCAGATGAAAATGGCATTTATGCCTTTGGCTGCCTCATATGAGATTGATTCTGTCCACTTACTTTTCTAAGAGCTTTCTGTCCTTCCAAAACTGTGATGCAGAGCAGCATATGCTGAAACACTGTGCCAAGTGGCTCACAGCCGAATTTGCTGTTCCTTTTTACCCTGTCACAGTACTGAAACAGTCCTCTCCCAGACAAATGAAACCATCTATCAGCATGATTGATTGTGAAGTTCCCCAAATAATAATTCTTTTGAAATATCTTTTTACTAACCAAGGAACGCTTTTAATGGAGTGCTAGGTTAATCTGAAGCAGTCTGCTGATAGATTTTGCTTAGCTGTCTTCATTCCCCAGCCTTCCTGAACTTTGTCAGCTGTGCATTTTGCAATATTTCAGAAGTTGGACATTTAAGCTATTTTCTCTCTGCTCAAAGTGAGTCTTTGAGGAAGAAAACAACCAGTTAATAGTTTGATTTGAAATCTGTATTCCGTAATACTGCCTGATCTTTTCGTCATCTGACCATTGACTATCAAAAGAGTGTTAACTTCTACACTGTCAAGACTTTGTCCAGTTACCTGAGTTTTTTCTCAGCTAGGGTGTCCTTGAAGATACTTGGTGAGTCAGGTTAGGTTAGAATATGTAGCAGCCCCTCAGCAACAGTGTAGTAATAAACGTTATTTTCACCAAAAGTTAAAAGAGCCTTCAAATTCTTGTCTCTTAGAGTAAATTACCCCAGAACTCTGCAACTGTAGCCATTTTGGCAGTTTTCTTGGGGAAAGATTAATCAGCCTCATAGCACTGCAAATCCATTTTTGTTTGAAGAACAGAAAAATATAAAAGTCAGATGAGCCAAGAGAATCCCTGAAAAATAGTTTTGTACCAAGGCAAAGGATGTGTGTGAAAAAGCAAGATGGTGAAGGGTTCTTTTTGGATCTTGGCAAGAAAGATCTGAAAACAAATGGCACAATAAAATAGCTGTTTTAATAGGATAGAGTAAAAAGTGGAATGCAGACAGCACGTAAATCTTGTATCCCTCCAGAGGCTGGGACCCCTGCTTTTATGCAGCATTGGATTGACCCCAAATATATTTTTGCATTACATGCTGTACAGATCTTATTTGTGGGTGCAAATCCTCTTTTTGGTCATTCAAACAATTATATAAATCACTATTTGACATACAATGGTTTTCCAGTGTGAATCAGTAGAGAGACACTTGGTTAAGATCTAGTACTGTCAGGAACAAGCTAGAAGGAAGCATATAGCTCAATACAAACTGGTAGAATTAGTTTTCTGAAACACAGGTGTTCAAGTCAAAAAGCTACAGTATACCGGAAAATAGTGTTTTATATATTATTGAAGATTTTATGCATGAGGAGAAAAGAAGTTTTTAATTCCCTATGGTCTAGTATTTGAGAGGTTGTGAAAGGAGAGTGTGATTTTACTTCTTTTAGAGACAATGACAAAACTCCCATGATTTATATGCGTAGTAAAATTTTTATAGAAAAGGCTGAAAAGCATTCTAAAAACCTGTATTTATTGAACTTTAAGTCCAAGTTTAATTCTTAAGCTTAAATGCTTCTTGAATTTCTCAATAAAATCTGTTACAGAGTGATTCTTTGCTAATGCCTGCTCAATTAGCAAATATGCAAATATGTCCTAGAAAGCAGGTGGACATAATTTCATACTGTGTTGGTGGTTTTTAATATTTATTGTAAATGATACAGAAAATTATCGACCACTAGTTGGGAACAGCTTGTGTTCATAGCAGGTCATGAGCCTCCAGCTTTCATGACCACAGCATATGCTGCACACTGAGGAACTTGCCCAATGACCTTCCACTCCTTGGCACCGTAGTAATTGTGATTGCTGATCTAGACAGTATCCTACTTATCCTCTGGTTCATTTTAAGTGAAGATTGCTTTGAATGATGGCACTGAAAACACGTAGGAGTCTTTTTAAAATATTTTCTTTCGGGATCCTTGTTTGGATGTGATAGCATATTTCAATAAAAAATTGCAAAATACTCTAAAATTTTCATTTCTGAGCCAAAACCTTTTTTTTCCCTATAATTTATTAGCTCCCCATGATTGTATGCTTCTTTCTTTGGACCCACCACTTGTTCTGCTGACTTTGAAGAAACTCTTGTGAGAGCTGTGCTCCTTCTTAGTATCACCATGAGTATATTGTCACTACAGGCTGTGCTTGCCTGTTGACTGATGGCTGTGAGTTCACTTTCATGATTTACATGTGGGCTTATCTGTGTTGTTTCCTTTCTATACATTCAGAGATACATCATCTCACGTATCTCATCTCAGTTTGTCATCTGCACACAAGCCCCCCTGTGCTAATTGACATGATAAGGATGTGCCACCTACAGAGGAATGACAAGGTTTTTTTCTGTGCTGTGCCATATACTAAGATGATTTTTTTGTGGGTGAAATGCATGACATCACATCTTCCCTTCACAGCCCTTAAAGCTGATATGATTTTGCTGTGTATATGAAATATATAATGTATAACTTATATTCACAATCATCCTGAAAACCTGAAAACTAGTTCTTACTGATAGGTCATATATGTTAATTAGACCATGGAACCATTAGATAGGGACATTAATTAGAGAGTTAGAGAAGCTTTAGAGAACATATTAGATCTTTCTACCCTGTGTAAGTGTGTTGAACTCTCAAGAAAAAATGCAGTATATTAATTAAAATTTGGTTTGACATAACACATGAGGCAGTTGTTACTTTTACCAGCTTGAACATCAGCTTCTGAAATTGCAAAACTATTATAAATTTGTGGGGTCTTTCAACCTTACATATATGTAATGACTATTGGTTTTTACAGAATTTCTGAATGGGAATACACACCATCATGAAGGATCCTGAGATATTGCAGTTGCTCTGTGATTTATCCCATGTTTGTGCAGAAAAAGTTCACTAATGATTATCTAAAAGCTGGTACTCCTAAACATTACACAACCTTTTTCATTTGGTCAGTGCTTGTGGTTTATATTCAGCAGCTGTTACCAGATAATTATGTTGGTATTCTAAAAAGAAAGTCACAGAATTCACAGAATGTAAGTCTGTAGGAGTGGTAATAAACACCTGAAAAAATTAATATATTCTAGTAAAAATTTCCGTATCATGTCACAGCTGTTAATGGAACATCAACACAGAGTTTTCTCTCTAGAAAAACAGAAAAATTGTCAATCACAAAAGAATTTTTTTCTTCTGTTCTACAGAATGAAGTGCACCAGTTGAATAGATTGATGATCACAAGGGGAGTGCAAGACCTAAGAAGTAGATATTAATTTATCTACTTACCCATAACATAATGCTGACAACGATCATGGTGGCCTTTAGTGGAATCTGGGTATGATGGTGATCCTTCACATCAGTTTATCCATTCAGACTGGGGGTGTCTTCTATAAAAGAGTAGAAATTCTTCCAAGATAATTACCAGAATAAGAATCAGCATTTGGGGAACCTAACTCTTGATGGGGAGATTCTTTGAGAGTTGATACTTTGATTCAAAGAGTTAAATTTTTCTTCACAGTAAAAATGCAAAAGTATGTAAAAGAACCTCATATGAATAGATCATCAGAAGACTGCCAGAGCTTCTTGTCTCTAGAATTAAGAATGTTGTCCCATTGAATAGATGTGTCAGAGCTGTAATTCATAGTCAAATCATTTACAACAAAGAAAGAGGAAATGCTGTCTATGGATGCAACTGATTAGCAGAAGAGCAGTTTTAAGCAAATATATAAATTACATGCAAAGCTTTTAGAAAAAAAAGTTTTGAAAACACTTTGTGCTTCTGTGTCTAAACTTTTTCTTTGTCTGAACTGTTTAAATGTCTTCAAATGCTTGCGATTGTGAAGAACTTGAGGAAGGTAAAAAGCAATCTAGTGAATTGTTCTATAGCCTATGCTTTGAATAAACCTTGTTATACATTGGTTATTCATTGTGACTGTACTGGACACACTGGGTACTGGCCTGCTGCTCAAATAGTGGGATAAATTATTTTATATCCATTCATATATTCTTGTTTCATTTTTTTAAAACGTTATCTGCTCAGCCCTGGGGCTCCTATAACCACTATTCAAGAGTGATTGCAATGGATTTGCATGTGATATCAACAGAAATTTCACCATATGTCAGTTGACCAAGAAAAATTCAATTTCATTTTCTGTCTTCCATATTTTTCATTGTTCTGCTAGACTGAGTAGAATAGATATATCAAAACTATAAAGTAGTTCTGAATTTTTAAAGACTGGCTGCAAACCAATGTCTGTTTCCATTTGCAAATTCAGATAATTTAACAGGTAAATTCCATGCCAATATCAAATGACAAAATTATCGCTTTCAAGAAATTTAATCCTTTTTTCACCATCTGCTATCCGTAAGGGAAAATCTTTCACATAGACTCATGTGAGATAGTCAATAATTGCAACTAGATTGAATTTCTTTAAGTTTACTTCCAAGTGTCTGTGATTGTAGGTCCAATAGTCTGTGTCTCTCTCCCAAGCCATCCTCCAAAATGACTCTGGCAGGTGCCATGGCTTATGGAAAGTGCCTCTTTTTTGGATGTATGATCTGGTCCAGCATTTCTGAGGAGGGTGATTGCCATATCAAAGTATAGAAATCAGTTGAATATTTGGCTTCATCTATTGCAATATAACGGAAACTCATTTAAGATAAATGTATCTATAGATCCCAAACTCTTTATTACTAGTAAAAATGACATTTAGAGTTCAACTAAGAAAATCTCTTGCTTTTTCCATTTATGTTTCTGTTCAGGAAATACCACACTGGCTTTTATAACCCACTTGCATTCAATTTCTGTAGAAATTACAAGGCAATAAAAGAAGAAGTTGTGATATCCTTCTACTGTAGTATCATTAGGCAGTTGTTTAAAATAAATAATTATTCTATCTTACCTGTGGTTCCTGGGGCTTTCTTTTTTCACAAAACAGCAACAGAAGAGGTCTTCAGAGTTTCAGAAGAAAGGCAGAAAGCTTTTGTGAAAATGTGGTGGACTTTTTTCCTAAGACTCTGTCTGTTGAGTGAAACACCTGGAATGCTAGCACATTATTAAAAGGCAGCAAGATGAGCATACCAGCTAATTGTTCATCTGCAGTTGGACATGTTGAAGTTCAAGAATACCAGGGAAAAAATGAATATTGTTCCTGCTGTGCTTGCTTGTAATCGTTCAGATTTACCAGCAATATACCAGTTCAATTAATCAAGTTAAAATATGTAAATACAAGGGAGTAAAAATCCACCAAAACTTTGAGCTCTATGTAAATGAGAGATAAAAATCAGATGTAGAAATGAATGATTAGAGAAGATATATTATAGATCTGGTGGCAGAATATGCAAGATATTCACTGTTCTAAGATACAGGATACATAGCCTAAGATGAATAATACAACTTCAGTAACATAAAAAATCAAATAGCTGTATTTGTACTGTGACAGAAGAGACGTATATTTCATTGTTATAAAAAAGGATCTGGTAGGTGATGTGGAAGGTTGTAACTTCCTGCACTTGCCCATGGTAACAGCTTCATAACGTACAATCATAGGTAGTCTTAAAAACTGGCTCAGCTGGAGCTAGTGTATGCAGTCAATGTCACCAAAACCATGAGTGTCTGCAAAATCCAAACTATAAAAGCAAATTAGAAGAGGCTTTGTTTACAGTGATGCTGTCAACTGAGCATCTAGGTGTTTTAATCTTGCAAGACCACAAAAAACCAGAGACGATAGAAGCAAATCAGAGCCTGAAATCAACCTGGGCCTTTCAGGAGATAGTCTCACTCTAAATTATTAAGAAAGAATGAGACTCAAAGATTGTAATTTGATACTGTTTAAATGGATTCAGAGTTGCTCCTGCTTATAGCTGAGAACTAGGCTTGAGACTCACAGACCATAATATCAATTTAATAATGTGTTTTTGTGTAACCCACAGGCAAAAACAAAGCCACCCACAAAGTAGTACAGACATATTATAGGATAAAATGAAGCATATTTTTACAGGTAAAAATAACCCCACCCATTGCTGTCACATATAGAAGCTACAAATCTGTTATAAGAAAATCTCTTTTCTTTGAAAAAGCACTGTTGAAGTCCCTTTAATTATAAGTGGAGACTTAGGTGAGCAAATGTTGCATATTGGTACAAGACTGAGTTCTTTAAATGGAATGATATTTTAAATATGAAACTTTCACAAACATCAGATGAACCATATTGGTCTATGAGTGCTAGCCAAGGTAAAACAGGTCTCATTAATTAATCTTGTTATTTAATGAATAGCATAGAGAGTTCACCCTAAAAAAATCATAACATGGAAACAGCAAGTGAATGACAATCCTTCTATCCTACTCTCTTTCTCATCAGTATACTGCATATGAAAGGCCAATATAATTTCAGTACAGAATTTATCAGTATTATTCAGTACAGAATCACAAGAGTGTTGGGAGTGTACATAAGAAGGAAAAGAAAGATTTGAAGAGGACAGGAATTCTCCCCTAAATTCAAAGCTATTTCTCCTCAGTACAGTCATCTGAATATGATATGACTTCTCAAAAAGAATTCTCTGCATATTGTTTTTATCTGTTCCATTTCCTGTATGGTGATATACAGTAGAAATATGGGAAAAGGTAGTGCTGGCTAGCAAAATAAGTATTCTACTAGTATTTAAAATGTTACTAGGACTTCTCATAGTCAGTAAAAGTCAGTAAATAAGTCATTTAGAGAGTAGGAAATAATGGCATGCCTCTAAGAAATATTTTTATTAAAGAGACTGTGAAAGCCCTGGAAAATTTTTGCTGACATATGCTTTCAGGAATTAACTTTATTTTATTTAACAGCTATCTTGGCAGAAGGAAGAAAATTTTTAAGTCTGTCGAGCCAAATGACCTATGTGCGTACTTGATGCTCCTCTCTTACCAACCTTTCTGAAACAGTTCCACTTTTCTTTAAAAGCATGCACTAATTATTATAAATTCTTTTATTGATGTTGGAATTTATGGCCAACAGTATTGAAAGTTGAGCTGCAGCAAGCAGACACACTATGTGGACAGACAGGTTTTTCTAGGGCTCCTTGGCAGGATGGTACCCGGGGTAAGGAGCAAGGGGTACCAGTCACACAGAGATAAATTATCCTGGGCAAATAATGGAGGCTCATTTTGCCTGGGGAAGGAGGAGGGGAGAACCACACCTTTACTACATGAGGTTGTGTGAAGCAGACATCTGCGGAAGCTCTCCTCACTTGTGAGTAGAGTAGCAGAGCTCACACAGACTTCAAGAGTTCAGTTGTTGGGTTTGGATGGAATTCCCAAAGTCAGCCTTGCTACTTTACTTTCAGATCTTAAGGTGAATGATGTGGCACTTCAAATGTCATCAAGTTTTTAAACACGAGAAAAAAGCCCCGCAAAATTAGAAGGAATGAAACAATTTTCCTTTAGTTTCACAAGGAAAAGTAGTGGTGTTTAATTGAGCAGACCAGTAGAAGAAATTACAACTGGCCTTTGTACTTCAACAGGCCTTTGTACTTCAGCATTCAATAATATGAAATAAATTAGAAGGGATTATGGAAAGGACTAATGAGTAAGTGACTGATTAGGTGGAATTTTATGAATACTACAGGAAAAATAAAATATACTCTCTATACCTCTGGTGATTATAAGTCTGTTGCTTTTTCTTTGCTTTTTATCTTTTTTTTTCTTTTTTTTTTTTTATAAAAGTCCAGGAGGCAAGCATACACTGAAATGAGGAGGTAATTTTCTGAAGTATCTGTAAGAATCAGAAAGGTCATGGTTTTCTTTATTTTCGCACTGGCATTATTGAAAGGTTCACAGAAAATTTGGCATATTTTCAAGGGTTTTGTGACCTTTCTTGAAACAATGGCAAATGAGTAGTAATAAAATATTTGTGTAGAACTATCTCCCTTACTATTTTAAGATTCTATTTTTCTCCAAGTCCCTTTTTGTTGCCACTGGTGGTGCAGCAAGAGATCCAGAGCATTGGAATGAATATTACATAAGATCCTTGCAAAACAGATGCCTCTAGAAATTCTTTTCCATCCTCTCATTATCATGGAAAGCAGTCTTTCAACCATCTTTGAAACGCCTCCTAAAAATGTGCTCTAAGCTCATCTACTCGTGTCTGTGAGCCACCTGCATGTACATCTGTACAGGAAATGCTGGTCATATTGGCCATCATTACCAATTGTTCTTCTGTTTTCCATTTCCAAGGACTTAATATTGCACTATTTTCTTTTTCTGTTTACATTGCATGCAAATATTTGGCTTGGTAGTACTAAAGTGAGCTGTGAAAACCATTCCATATGATTAGTGTTGTTCCACATGGTAGCTGGAATCTATTCAATTTAATGACCTTAACTGGTTTTTCAAGTGGGATTTTTTTTTCAGTCAGGCTGCCTAATTAGATTTCTGGATTAACATTAGAAATGCCCTTCAGGGTGATAGCTGAGGGAATTTTAGCACTGCATTTTGTCTCTGACCTTGGCCACTCTCAATGTGTTTGCATTTTAAACTACCATGCCTGAAAATGGGTGGGTTAAGAGATGATCCTGAGCAGCTTTAGGCAGTATTGCACTAATTGAGTTACCCTATAAAATATGTACACTGTGTAATGTAGCATTACACTTTATCACACTAGACACTGTTTTGACTCATATTGTTCTGTTCCATGGCTAAATTTGACATTACCTGCAAATGTTTAGGAAGCTGATGGGTCTAAGTTTGATAGCTGTTAAGGTTCTCAGGATGGAAAGAGATGAAATGGGCTTTACTGCCTCTAAATTAAAGAGAAGGAAGTGATGACATGACTGTGAAAACACTGTTAGAAATCTATTATCAGCAAGACTTTTGATTCCTCTGCAGCCTTTCAGGTTTTGAATGTCTTGTGTGGTGTCCTATTACTTTTTTTTCTGTTCTGTTTAAGGAATAGGTACTTGGGAGGAAAAAATCCTGTTGTTACCTCAAGTATTTTGCCTTTTACCGTAGATTCAGATCTTCATTTTGTCTCACAGTCCTTTGTGTATGGAGCAATAGAGAGGGGAACGAAAATCAAACAATGTGCTAAAGGTTGAAATATCCTTGATAGGATTATAGAATGTGTTGCACACTGTGTCTGAACAAAACAGGATCACAGAAAAGAAGGCAGGTCAACTTGTTGCTCGCTTGCTGCAGAAAATTTAGAGGCAATGGAAAAATGTCTATGCATGTAAGAGAAAGCAAGGGACTGAGATTAAGAAGCTGGCAGAATCAGCAGTGAAAGAAGCCAAGAAAAACAGATGCCAGATCTAAATACCAATTCTGTAAGGACTGAATCACTTATTCAACAGCCATACATTGACTGCCTACAATAATTGACATGGGTACAATGCTGTTGTCTGCTTGGGGAAGAGTTTTTGCAAAGTCAGATTGAAATTATTCAGAGAGGTCAAAAACGGCTGTGAAATCATCTCTCTATTTTTTGTTCATACAGATACTATAATGATCCAGATGTCTGTCCTTCTACAAATCATTGAGCAACTCTGTGGGCTATAAACATAGTGTTCAAAACATATTTCACAACTTTGACTACACATTGCTGTCTGATACTTTTAATGTATGTGTGGGTCCAAATACTTTCAAATGTATTTACATTATTTATTAAATTCATACTTTTGTCAGCTTATGGTCTAATAATCAAAGATATTACAGACTGCAAAAACATGGATTAGAGCAATCAATGCTGTATTATTTAATCCTGTATTGTTTGGAACTTATTGAAAAAGCTATTGTTGATATGACAAGGCGATTGTTCATGCTCAAAAATGTCAATGTCTTCTTTCAATTTTGAGTTTGTTGCTAATTTTGTAAAAGCCTAGCACTTAAGATGTAGGATCCTTGAGAGCCATCAGTTTCATTTTGCTGCTCCCATATAGGACAAATTGTACAACAAAATTTCTGATCACTGTTTGTCTAATCTCTTTCTTAAAGACTCTAATGAAAGAAGCTTTCTGATCACATTCAATAAATCAGTGAGAAACTAAAGAACACTGTGGGAAATGGGCTTTAAACTATCCAGGTTCTGCAGGTAAATATTTAGAGAAGCCTTCACTGTACAGTGCACACTCTTTTCATTGAACCATGTCTAGTCTTGCTATTTATGTACGTAGATACAGTATGGAAAAAATACATCTAGAGCAGTCAATGGATACATGCTATTAAGCCATAGTATTGCACAAATTAGGAAGTAGAAATAAATTGTAATTGTAATATTTGTGGATTATGGTTTTTGAAATAACTTTGGGGTTTTTTTTTTTTCCTCTTAGAGTTTGACATACTGAATAATTTTAATACATACTCCAATGTGTTAGGCTTGTTTTAATTAAAAGCTTGTCTGTTTTTTAAGATGGAGGAGCAAATTGTTATAGCTGGTTTTCCATGTGGTGAACTTCATTGATTTTTATTAACTGTATGCAGGTATAACAACTTAATTTGGATTCTTCAGCATTTAGAAGTAAGGAAGGAAGAAGGTAACTCTGAGTTTCCATAGTATATACAGTTGGTAGCTGTCAGCGAAGAGGATGTCATTTCACTTTGTAGAAAGCAAGCACTGTATAAAGCAAGGCTATAGGTTATTTACTAATTTAATATTAAAGAAATATCCTCTCATTTTGATCTTAGAATTCAGGAGACACAAATGGAAACAAGTCTTGCCTGCCACTTCAATGCTTAATGTTGAAAGCCAGATTTGTTTTGAAACTGGTGCAGAAGTTCTGTTACCAGAATGAATAAATATGTTCAGTTACCATAAGGCAGCATCTTAATACCACCATAATTCTCTAACATGAAAGAAGGAAATAAGTATGACATCTTATAAATGAGTGGTAAATATTTGTTCTTAAAAAATGGCTTGTTTACTGAATGTTAAGTGATAAAAGAAAAATGCCAAATAATATTAAGACTTCTGCTTATTATAGGTCATTAATTTTTTCTTGGTGGTCTCCTTAAGTGTAAAGATAGTATACTGATCATTACACTAATTTAGTTACTTAGTTTGTGTATATTTGAAAATTAATCCTTGCATTTTCACCTTTATTTGTTGATTTCTTTTGCTATGAAGGTGTTGCAGAAGGTTTCTAGACAGTTATGCTTCAGCTGAGATGTGAATAAAATTCAGTGTCGGATAAGGTGCTTCTGATGTAGAATTTATAAAGTACATCAGGACTGCATGAGAGAAAGAACTGGCAAGACAGGTAGCTTGATGTATATGCCCAGCAAGAGATAAATTCTTAAGCAAGGATATATTGTCTAAGCAAGCCAGGTATAGCAGACTGCTTCCTGTTGGGAAATAAAATTTTTCTTTTAAAAATGAGAACTTTGTTTTTAAAATTTTACTGGCAGAATTTTTCAGGGGACATCAAATCTTTAAAATATTTCTTTAGTATTTGTAGAGATGGACAAGATTCTCATTTTAGTTACCAATCAAAAATTTATTCTATATAATGCAGGGGACAGGATTAAAAAGAGAATTTGAATTCAAGAATAACTGTTCACAAATTAAAGTGTTGCCATTTTTCAACTTAGAGGTAGAAGAAGAAACAAAAACAGAACAGAGTGTTGTTTCAGCTCAATTGTAAAACTCAGCGCATGTACATCAGGCACTCTTAAAAACTGGGAGTGGTAGGAATAATAGAAAGGGAAAACTTTATCAGAAGGAACAGAGGGAAGAAATATGGTCACAATAGAGGTTGTGGATAATACACACAAAATGCTTTAAAGAAATAAATATCCAGTAGGAATATAAGTAAAGCTTTCAGGTATTAAAAGAGTTTTAAGAATTCTTAGATTAGTTATTTAGACTAAATTATGTTCATGGAGTCAAATAAATTTGAAGGCACATTTATGGTTTCACCTGGAGACATCAGTGACAGCAGTTATAGAACCTAACACACTTTTAACAGCTGTAGTGGCTCAAGCCAAAGGCTGAGTTGTGTTCTGCATCCCTCGACATCCACAAGTGAATGGCTTGAAAAAGGAAGAGCAGGACAAGGTTATAAAATGACACTTCTGTGTAATGCTAATTTCACGCTCCAGCTATTTTCACATTGAAAATCTCCCGAGTCTATGTGGTCCTATTAATTTGCTACCCACTATGAATTTCTCTTCCATAAACCTTTTCAGTCTCCCAATCAACCAACCTACATGGACTTCTTGGATCCACATTATTTTTTACAAGGTCTCTTGCACCTACTCTTTTCTGTCCTGAAATGTATTCCAACTGGCTCAATTTGACACCTCCTCTTTCTTGCACTGGAAAAGAAAATGAACTATTTCTGTCCATCTTACTATATGCCACTTGTAGTTTTATTATCCTCTATAATTTCTCCTTTGATATTTTTTCTTTTCCACAAGAAAAAGTGACAAGTCACTTCACAGGTCAGTATACAAAAATCACTGAGACATTTTCTAATGAAATTAAAATATCGATAAAGTGCTGAAGTTTTCAAATGCATAGGAAAACTTAAAAATATAATTAATTGTATTGAGTGATTACCAATTTAGCACTCACCAAATAAAATAATAGAGAGATGTGATACATTCACAAAGATTTAGCTGGATCAATATACTTCTGTTGATTTTATTAGTTGCATGCAGAGTTTTATGTGATAATTTCTGTTCCTTTACCATGCAGAATTGAGCAAGTGATGAAGAATGCTTTCTCTTTATCTCTCTTTTCCTTTGGTGTTACATAGCTTAACCAGTGCCACAGAACAGAGGCAGTTGATTGTTGAGCTATTCAAATTGCTCATCAGATAAACTGGAATATTTTGTGCTTACAATTTGTGCTCTTCTAAACCATTTGTAATAGGTCTGTTGTTATCAAAACTTTCTCTATTTTCTTCTTTTTATCTCTTTACTGCAGACCATCTTTTTTTTCCCTGTTTCACACAGTCTCAACTTTTCTTTTCATACATTTTTACCCTTGTTGGTCTGAGGCTGATTAAGTGATCAGAAATCTTTAATGATTTCCCTCTATGCTATTTAAGACCATCATTATCACTGCTCAGAATGACTCTGAAGAAAAGTTGAACCTCCTGTTAAAGCATTATGGGAGGCAATTTTCAAAACCTTTCATTTCTCACTACAAAATCAGCTTTAGAAAAAATTCTAAGAGAAAAATTTGACACCGAAAAACCTCCTACCAGCTAAAAACTTTTATCACTACTGAAGTCCCTTAGCTAGCTGAGAGAAAACGGTACTACAAGTAGTCATTCAAAGACATGAGAATACGTGTTTTAAGACCCAATTCTAAATATATTCAATTTCCTATTTATTCTGAATGCCCATTTTTGACTAGTGATATTTTGGGCTTTAGTGACTATTATTTTTAAGACTAGAAACATAATTCTTCTTTCTCATATCTTTCCTCGTCTCATGAATCTAATGCAGGTATGATTTTTATGACAAGGTGCCCTCATTAATAAAAAGCTCCAGCCTCTATCTGGTTTTGGAGTTCCCTGCTCACCAAATCTTAGTCCTTGAGAGGTTTCTTTGATACTGCTACTTTCTCATTTTTAAAAGACGGTATTCTAAAGAAAAATAGTCTTAATTTTTCTCTCTGGCCTCGCACTGACTGCTTTCCCCAGCTACCCATGCAAAGAATCTTACTCATTTCCATCTGGGGAAAAATATTTCTAGTCAAGAGACACATCAAATCTTCTTCTTCCCTTTTCCTTGTCTTCCTTCCTACAAGAGACATAAAGAACTGCAATGAAAAATAAATGCATGAATAAATAAGCATTCAGAGGATCCAGCAACAAATCACCCAGGAGGAAAGCAATGCAGAGAAGGAAGCTGAAAGAGCCATCATATTTACCAGCAGGCAGTGATCATGGAAAAAAAATTACTTGTTTGAGGTAGTCACCCATGGCAAGTACATGGCAAGGACATCTAGAGAAAAATTGCTAGTTTGCTTCTGTGATGATTCCTTATAAAGGTTGAGTTTCACAGATGACCAGTTTGTTAACTAACCTTCATTCTACACCTTCTGATATTTAGCCTTGTATATTTTGACACCAGCAACTCTCTTGAGCAAATTATAGAGATTTTGTAGGAGGATAAAAAAATCTTCCCCCCCGCCCCCAAGCTGTTGTAGCTGAATGTAAGGAAACAAGGACCCAGAACCCGAGACATCTTCACTTAGTGTGGTCTAGAGCTGAGTGCTCTAAACCTCTGACCCTGATAAAGGAGGGAGTTGCCCATTTTGTTGCTGACAGAATGAGAATTAGCTCAGTCTGAGATTGCATCTGCATGCAAATTCCAGAACTGTTTAAAGAATTCCTACATTTTCCTGGAATGAATCAGGCAGGGAGAGAGAGCTTATGAAGTGTCTTATACTTGCCTTTGGGTCGCTAGCCTCTGAGATCCAACAATCCACTCCAGAAGATTAGAAACAACCAGTAAGGTTTTGTTGAAATTAAAGAAAAACCAGACACATCATCCCATGCAATCTGCAACTAAGAATATGTGAGAAGACTTAAATTTTTTTACTTCTCTTTTTCCATTCTTCTTTTCCATAAAAGGGAAAGGTATGATATGTTGGTCCTAGCTGGTAGGCAATCTCACATCCAGCTACTCCCTCCATCCCCCTCCTCAGCAGGACAGGGGAAGACAAGAAAAAACAGGAATGAGAAACATTTTGGATCAATATGAAGTCAGGAAGACCACTTACTAATCATCATTGTCAGCAAAACAGACTTTAATTGAGATGAATAAATTTATTGTCAATGAAAATAAACACGGAATTACTTATTTGGGTATTGGAAGGAAAAGGACAATAAACATTTGCATACTTTGAGAAAACAACTTTCCTCCCCTTTTTTCCACGCCCAGCTTCACTCCAAATTCCTCCTTATTATTGCCATGATTACACTCATTCCCTACAGTGAGGCAATGCACCATGCAAGGCTGGGGCAGTGCATGTGTGTATGTGAGAGTTATGGTCAATACATAAGCAGCTTCCTCCAGCCATTCCTTACTTTTCATTTTCTCTGCTCCTGTTAGGTTCTTTGCACCACTACAGCAGAGAAAAGTACCTGAGTTTGGATTGAAATAGCTTGACTTTTTTTTTTTTTTTTTTTAAGCAAATATGTCTTACAGTATGTACATACTTAGAATTCCAGCCTGGTACTTCTGCAATAAAAATCATCAGGATGTGGCTCATATAGGAACCAGCTATTTTTAGGTAAGATTCCTGAAGTGGGATATAATTTTAAGTCTTTTCTGCATTTTTATTTCTGACACTGCTTGCTTCAGGCTTGAATGATACATGATTAATAATTGAGCACATCTTATTTATACTTCCCTTTACAATAGATGCATGAGAAGAAACCAGAAAATTACAAGGGTAGAAGAGGAAAAGGCAAAATTATGTTTCTATGGTAGATCCTGCCAGAAAGACATGAACCAGTAGTGATGGTAAATTTTATGCCAATCTACATGTGTTTAACCTTTATGTATTAATTTTACATTCCTTCATTTTCATACACGTCCCATTCACTCTTGCTCAAATGAATCAATAGAAAGATTGCTGCAATTGCATTAGGATTAAGGCTAGACTCTCCCAAAATACATGCTGGTTAATGGGGATAGAAGCCAGTTTAAAAATCAATACAAGGTATGTTTCTTCTAAATGGGATTCTAGGCAGCCAGCAGAATGACCTAATATCTTAGGCTAAGTTGATAGTTTTTCTTGGCATGTGATAATTCTTTGCCTGTACTTCCAACCAGGGCAAAATAATATTGTTAATCAACTTCATTACCAAATCTTATGAATTTTAAAATAAGGGTCTCAGTTATTCTGCCTTAAAGGATACTACTAATGCTTTACTTGTAATATATTGAGTCAACTACCAATCTACCTTTCTTCCTACTAAGAACTGCTGTCAGTAAACTCATCATAAACCACCAGTGTCTTCCTTTTGAATATTTTAATCTTTTTCTACAGAGAAGACTATAAAAAAGCATATTGTCTTCACCATTCTATTCCAAGGAAATCAGAATTATAGTGCAAAAAAATATTGAAAATTTTGAAACAGGACTTTGTTAGAAGAGGAGTTTAAAAAGGCATAGTGTAGCATTACAGTCTTATCAATTGCCACGGTCCTTCCTGTGTTCCCAGTCAGAAAAGTCTCTGCAATCTCTGCTTTGTCCATTTTTGCAGAATGTAATGACGTCCACCTTATTCAGTATTTAGTATTTAGTATTTAGTATTTAGTATTTAGTATTTAGTATCTATATGTTTCAAAGAGATAAGCAGAACTATTCTCCTGGAATAATTTGCACAAGGAATTATATGTCGAAGGGTTATTTCATTCCCCACTAAGCAGTAGGTGTTTGTTATGTTTATCTTTTAAACAGGAAGATTTATATACACAGAGTCATAGATTAATTTAGTTTTGAAAGTATCTGTAAGACCATCGAGTCCAGCCATTAACCTAACAAGTCAAATCTCCTACTAAATCACATCCTTAAAAGAGAAATCTAAATGTCTTTTAAATACCTCTAAGGATGGTGACAATCATTTTTCTGTTCCAGAGTTTGACAACTCTTTTGGTGAGATAAATTTTCCTATTATCCAAACTAAACCTCTTCCAGCACAATTTGAGGTAATTTCCTTTTTTCTTGTTGCTTGTTACTTAGTAGAAGAGGCTGCCCCCCCCACATTACTGCAGGCTCCTTTCAGGTTCTTGTAGAGAGCAATCTGGTTCTTCCTAAGCCTCCTTTTCTCCAAGCTGAACAACCCCCATTCCTTCAACTGCTCCTCATCAGATTCATCAGACTTCTGCTCCAGACCCTTCTCCAGCTTTGTTGCCCTTCCCTGGACATGTTCCAGCACCTCAGCATCCTTCTTGTAGTGAGGGGCCCAAAACTGAACAGGGATTTGAGATGTGGCTTCACCAGTGCCAAGTACAGGGGCTGAAATGTTCCTCAGTCCTGCTTGCTACACAACCACAAACCTTTAAAAAACTCTTCTGCTAGATCTGTAGGTTTTATTATTAAGTGTCCAGTTTCACTTAGAATTTTACTATTTATCTTTAGTACTCATATAGTTAGCTCTTGGGATACAGTGCTTTCAGCCATCACAGCTTCATTTTGAGTTAGATCTTTATCTCACTGCCACATTCTGGTATCAGGGTTGTCAGGAATAATGAGTTTAAACCTGCAGGTAGTTTTCTTCAGCAGCCTATAACACAAACATATGTCATGTCATTTTATTACTTGCAGAGTTTATTACGTAGCTTGTTTCATATATGTCATAACATATTTTCTGCTTGTTTGCCCATTAACTACTACAATGGTGTTTTCATTGATTCTGACACATTGAGCACATTTGCCTTTCTCTGGAATATCTACAGTTAGTACAGAAACAAATTATTCCAATGTTAGGAACTTTGTATGCCGGTTCATTAGCAGATCTTGTGTCACCCTCCTGAAGGTGTGTTCTTCTGAAACCTCCCCCTGACAGCTATGATTGTTTTGAAACATTTCTGCCACGCCACTTGCTTGTTACTATTTTACAGCTGGGCAGTCTGAGCCTTCAGAGATGACCTGGTGGAACAGATTGTACAATGTTTCTCATCCACTTCAGCTAGGTTGTGCAACTTATTATCCTAAATTGTTGAAACAGAATACAGAATACAATAGAGCTATCCACAAGAAAATGGGGACAAATAAAACATTTTAGAATTTTGCAACAGGAATTTTTCATGTAGATCCTCCTTTTTTTTGACATATGTAAGGGCAAATCTTTCTGAACAGTGTCTCAAGTATTAATTTTATATAAAAAAATTCATCTTACAGTACAATATTTTGTCTTTCTTTTCCTAAGGAAAATCTGATTGTATTTGTCTGGTGAATATACTTGAAGGCCCACATACTTCTATATAAATGCCCTGTCTTTTTTCCGTGCTCTATATATCCACAAACTACCAAAAGCCTAGTCTGCTGTAAAAAACGAAGCTAATATGAAAAAAAAAGCACTGCATACATATTTCCAGAACAGAATTGACATTATTGCTGACAACTTCAGATCAGTAGGAAAAGTGTGAAGAAAACACAGGTCTTCCATCTGCTTCATCCATCTGCTGAGAAAACGATCTATGTTACCATTAGCAGATCTGTCTCTACAATTCTGCGTCTCCTATGCACATTTTCATGACAAATGTCTTAAACATCTATATTTTTTACCTCTATAGATAACTGTAATAAATAGCATTTAATTTGAGCTCTAAATTTGCTATTTTTCTGAAACAAAATGCATAATAGAGCATAATTCCCAGATTTCTCCTTAAATTTCCTGACTACAAATCAATGATTCTTTAAAGTGCCTAATAAAAGAGTCTAGTTCCATATTAGATATACTTGACAAATCATATTTAATTTTTTTTGACTGAGGATTTTGGCACAGAGTGTTGTTTGGCTAGTTTCTATTTGCCTATATTCCATTTCAGTGTTGACATCCTTTTCAAAATTGCAAGAAATAAAGTTGGGATATAAACTTCGGATCAAATAGTATTCTCCAAGTCCATGTGTGGAGGTTATTGTTGAGGAGATCAGTTTTGTTGGACTTCTACACTAGAAGTGTCAATCACAAACACAGAGAGTAAGAGAGACTCATGAGGAATTCCACTAAATATTCATTATTTTTCAATATGCTATATTTTATTTGTACTCTGGGTTTGGAGCTTTAGTAAGGAAACAGATTTTCTAGTTACAAAAATTCTGTCCAGAGGCGGCAGTAGCCTGTATCTAGCAGCTCCAGGCATTAAGATTTCTAGAATCCAGACAAGGCCAGGTATTCTGCCCTTGTGCACAGTGCTCATATGTAAACTCAGTAGGTCCTGTGATTCACAACAGAATGACAGCAGCATTGCATTCATTATTTCTGCTGCTGAACAGGCATCATAAGTTCTTTCAAAATTTACTCCCCTTCTACGTCCAGGAAGTATACTGGAAAGGTTAAAGGTAAACTTTAGATCACTATCACTGGAATCACTCCAAGAGCTTTTCTGGTGACCTAGCAGCTACAGACGAGGAAGATTTTTGTTTGTGATTTTTGGTTTTTTTCTGGTTTTGTTTTCGTTTTTTTTTTTTTTTCATTAATGCAGGTAGTTCTGACACATAAACAGCTTTAGAATACTGCTGTGAGACTTTTAAAGCCTGTTCTGTTATCTTGAATGCTGGGAACTATTCAATAATAAAACTCCAACAAACTATCTACAATGCTTATGAATTATATAAACATTGCCTTGCTTTTTAAAAATAAAGTTAACTGAGACAAAAAGATTTTTTCTGTTAAAACATTTTAAAAAAGGTGTAAGTATAGAAAGTTATTATTCTGCAATATATATTCATCTTCTGAGTACCTTCATGATTAATAATCTTATGTAGGACAGAGATGGTGAAAGGGAGACAGCTGAGTCTCTCTGGGGTTGCCATTGTGCAGTTGCAAGAGGTGGACAAATACTTTGCCTGTTCAAAGCCCTAACTGCAAGACCTTCTTTCATATCAGTGGGGAGAGTAATAATTTTGGAAGAAAATGCTTTGCATTTTGCTGAAGAAATTGCACTCAATTTGATTATTTTTCACGTTGTTAAAAGGTGAACTACAACTGTTACTTTTATAGCAGTGATTTGTTTTGTTAGACCCTGTGAAGGTTCTTTCTGGTTGGCTGTTGTAGGGAAACAGAAAGAGTCATACCTCAGTTTTCCCTCTTGCACAGCATTTCAGTTTGGAGGTGGAACAACTAGGAACAACTTTCTTCTGTCTTTTTTCAATGCTTAGCCCCATTGAGCAGATTAAATATATGAACAAAACATATCTTGTGCATGAATCACCAAAGAAAAAGACATTAAGGTGGTTTCATAAACATGTTGACATTTATTTTTAATAAAATATGGATTACTTCTTTTCTATTAGGATGAAAAAACAACATTTTTAAAATGTGAGCAAGTGCTGGTTAATATGCAGAAACTAAAGTGTATTGTAGATAATCAGAAAAATTGGAATCTTTTTTTTCCAAAGTATGGTTGCCAGTAATTTAAAGGGTCTTTTAAATAATTTGGTATTGAAGACAATCAGCAGCAATAAACATAATCTTCTATCAGAAGCAGCAAAAGTTATTATCTCCTTCCTTCCCAATTTTATATACAAAGATATTATATATAATATATATAATTTTTCTTAAAAATCTAAGCCCCATATATTTCAAAAGGTTATAGTTATACAAGTCATTTTAATAAGGAATTTGTTTCTTCAAAGATTTGAATGAAATAGTTTATTTTAGGCAGCTAGTTTTCAGATGCAATCTGCTCTCTTGTTTTTCAAGTTCATGGCATATAAAAACAAGAAAGGAATTAATAATCTATTATGTATATTTTGGCCTCTTTATGAGCTGTCACTCAGTAAATAGTCTCACATACACATAAGACCTCTTTCTGTGCTGTAACATCAATGTAAAGGAGCATTTCAATAATTGAAAAATTCATTTGCTCCCACCTGAAGGCCATCTCAACTATCAGCATGATAGAGTTGGAAATCAAATTATATATATCATCTATATCTATATCTATCTATATCTATCTATCTCTCTTTCTCTCTATATATATATAAATATATGTCTCAAGATATTTTGAGGTGATAGGACACTGTAAACAGTGAGAGTTTAAAATGCTGTTGAATGCAAAAATTTGTTTTTCCTCCTAGATTTTTCATAACAAAGTGACATTATTTTGTCCTGTCACCTTGTAAGAAGTAATAAGATATATAGTATTGTTTTAGAAGTTGATTGAAATGTTGGCAAAAAAAAATAGCACAAAAAGGAGAATTCAAATAATGCATTGCAATTAAATTTGACTCTCGAGAAAGCACACATTTGTTTCTTTGCAAGTATCTTCTCCAGTTGATTGTAATTCATTGTTACAGACAATTTTAACTTTCTTCATACATTTCTTTGCATGAATAACAGTAGAAAAAACTGTGTAAAATCTTTCAGCTATGTCAATGTATGTGCAAACTTTATGACTGTGAAATGAAATAAACCAATATTTAGGAAGCTCAGAACAAAAGATTGAAGGCATTTATAGTGAGTTGCATTAATTCAATTTACTATGTGCTTAGCATTGTTTAGCTGAGCTAATCATGTAAGATTAACCTTTAAAAATTTGTATTACAAAGTATGATGATCCCAATCTTGGTTCCTAATGCTTTTAGTTCTATAAACAACGTTTGACATTTACCAACAGTAATGTCGTGGAAAAATGTTCCCATATCCTGCAAATGACAAAGGTTTGAATTTTTTTTTTCTTAGGAAGGAATTTAGGCTCGTTACTTGTGTTGGTTTTGATTTTTTGGGGGGAGGGGGAATATTGTTGGGTTTTTTAAAATAACGATTTAAATGATGACATCACTTAGGATCATAAGACATTAAGATCATTAGAAATGAAAGATCATCAGAAGTTAAAAAATATCAGGCAAGCATTCAGATTTCTTGCACTGGCCAATACTTCCTCACTTTATTTGAACGAAGAGAAAGTACTTCAAAGAATGAATGTGAAAAAACCTGGTTTTAGCATGTGTTCTGGTCTTGAATCACAGTAGCACTGAATTAGATGAAAAAGTAGGAACTTCCAAAGAGTCCCATCATTTTTGCCATGGTGTCCCATGTTTATACCTACTTCTGATCTTTGCCTTCAGGTAGTGCTGAAATGTAAATATTTAATATTGAGAATGAAAAAGAAATAAAAATTACTTTTAATAGATTCCATGTTTACCATTCAAATTTTCTAGTACCTTTCTTAATAGAAGTTCTGAGGAACTGTCAATCTTAAATTAGTCTGCTAAGATTTTTTAAATCCATGGTCTGACCTTTCTCATGCTCCACAAATTTCTTTGCAAAGTTTACCAAATACAATTAAGAAAGATTTAAATATTTTATGCAGCAACCTCTATGCATGAGGTTCCAGAGCTTAAAAGAATTATTAGTAACCATTGGAAAGTAGAATTTTTGAGACAGGCTCTGTTGCAGTATTAATCCCTGGTAGCAGTACCAAAATGCCATGGATACTTTTTCCATGTAATACAAAGGCTGTCACTGACACCTCATGGGGCTGGAATATGTTTTTATTCAGCCTGATGATACATCAGATCTCAAAGTGTGTGAGTGTAGGTGGTATATATACCTTGAATACAAAAGCATTTCATACTCACCCATGTTTATTCTTCTATGAAAAGCAAAACCTGTCGGAAAGACCTGAAGAATGTCACCATATGCAACGAGGCTTTGGGGACACAAATTGAGAAGCATGAGTCATGTAAAAGACCACCTCAAAACTGGGCTCATTTTGTAAAAGGGCTAAGGACATTGAGCTGAGAGATGTTATGACTGCTAGATACAAATTGCCTTTCTAGATACCCCACTCAACAAGGAGCTTTTCAGGATTTAATTAAGCTCCTTTTTTAAAATCTATTTTTGTTATGTCCAAACAAGAACTGCACCTGGCAGAAAAGGGTAGTAGTTTCATTCCTATGCCAAATATTATTCATAACAGAATTCTTAGAACCAAGGGTGTCTACTGTATCTTAACTTCCATTTTGAGAAATTCTAGGAGATCCAGGTGGATTCTTAATTTGAAGAATAGCTGTTGAGACACAGTTTAAAATTTAAAAATGTAATACATGCTCTTGTTGCTGCTGCTTCCACACAGATTAGCCAAAACTAAAGCTGTGCTCTAGATCTGCAACCAGAAGGGCCCAATCAGCCTCATCTAAAGAATTTGGGTATGTTGTTTCAAGAGGGAAAGGAGGACAATTTCTGTGTCCCATTAGCATCTCATGGAAATCTGAAAGGCTTTTCAAGAGTCCTACAGATTTCTTTTGTCCATTTTTTTTTGCTAACACAGTTGTACAATAGCAGATCCTGACATGGCATTGTGTTTGGGCTTGCATCACACTAATCCACGTGATCTAGAATTCTGCTTTTAATTTCAGCTTGTTCTTTAATCTGAATTCCTAGTACATGGTGATTTATATCCAAGCAGCTAACAGCATAAAGCAAAACACATATCAGTTCAACATAGTAACAACTTAAGCAATGTGAGGTTAAACTGTGCTGTCAAATTCCATACGCCATGATGGGTAGTCTCTATGTGCATACATGGAATATTCATACAAGATATATGGATACAGTAAGCAATACAGTAATGTGACATTAAGCATTTGGTTCCAGTTAAGACCAATGGAAACTGAAGTTTCCAAGCTCCAAGCAAGAGATTCTCACATAATCCAGTCACAGATATCCATTTCAGAAAGAAAAACTGAGATTTTTCTCCAGAACTTGTGGAAAGTTTGGTTCCACAAGTGTGTTCAGAAAGCAAGACTTTAAAAAGCTCTGACCCTTGACTTTTTCTTTCCTCTTTGTGTCCTCTCTGATCCACAATATTCACTTTGATTTGGAACATTTTAAGGGGGGCAGTTTTTCATTTCTTTTCAGTAGCCTAATAAACTGTTACAACTATGGAGAAAAACTTTTTTAATATACAACATTCTAAGTGGGTCATAAATTTTATGTTGAAATAAAAGAAATTTTATTTCTACTGATGGTTACACCTGATTTGCTTGTATTATGCTGAACTTCTGCTCTCTTTATTACTGCTAAGACTTGTCTAAAACTGAAGACTGACTACTCCCAGTTAAGCCTATGCTACAGAATTTATGGAAAATTAGATCTGCACAAATATGTTATCCTGTTCTGAAGTACTGGGTTAACAAAATGTTGATTCTATGCCTTTATTTGCTCTTTATCCTTTGAAAGTATTGGGGGAAGACATCAGACTTACAAGCATTTTGAAATAAAATGTTAGGCCTGTAGACCACAGACTGGTGAGATTATAAACATACTTTTAAAATTTCTTCTGCAGTACTTACAAAGTGAGGAGAAATCACACAGCTGACCACACTGCAGCTACTTAATGCTGCCATAAATAGATCATAATAAGCATGTGGTGTATGTGATTGTCTGTGCTGATAAATGAAAGGGTGTGAATTTTTCAGCATCAGTGGAAAGATGGGAAAAAGCAAAAAACCTTCCTGATTGCAGCTGCAAATGGTAGCAATTTTTGCTTCCTGCATTAATGAATGTAATTCATGTAACACATATTACATCATTCAACAGCAAAATTCTCACATTCAGTTCACAGACAAAAAGTATTTTAATTAAGAATATCAATGAGTAATGACAATCCACTTTCAGAAAAAGCAAAGAAAGACACTTCTTTGGCCATGTAGAAGGAGCTGTGATGCAAATATATTTTATCAGTGTAAGAAATTCACTTTCCTAAAACTCTTTACCAAAGGAACATCCTTAAAGACATGTTCTGGTTTATTTGTCTGTTTTCTGTTTCTAACCTTCCTTTATGTGCAGTATTTGACTGCAAACCTGCATTTTACAGTCTCTAGTGATTGAATCACTTCATCTTCTATAAACATCACAAGTTCAAAGAGCTTTCAGCATCTGAACTTCAACACAACATACAAACTAAAATAATTCATTGTCTAGAGACCGTAACAAATTTTAATGTGCATTTACAGAGTAAACAAGGGCTGAAGGGAGTCAAACCAGTCAAAGTGAAGATATGCATTACAAAATCCACACATTACTGAATTAAAAACTAAAAAGTGGTGTTTTGTAAAAAAAGGAAATAAAGATGTTTCTTGGTGGCACGACATATAGATAATACTAAAAACTGGCTTGCATGAGGACCAAAGTATGTCTACTCTGAAGTTATATCACACAGACTGTAAGCAATTTACAGAATTTAAGTTGGTTTTGCATATACAGGAGTTGCAAAATTAGAGAAAACACACTGAAATATAGAACGCACACACACAAAAAAAGGGATGTATATATATAAACCTCCACGTAGTCATCAGGGGTTGGCCTAAGTTACTTGCCATCACTGAACAAGAAACAAACAGAAAGACAGGAAAAAAACCTCAAAGGGGGGAAAGAATAATATACTGGAAAACAAAAAGGAAAAAAACTCAAAAGAAAAATATCCTCATAGGTTTTTCAGAAACAACATCCCCTCATCTGCTGAGCAGCATGCTTAGTAGAATATTCCTACTCCTCATGCAAAAAAAAAAAAAAAAGAAAAAAAAGAAAAAAAAGAAAAGGAAAAAAAGACTTTTTGATAAAGTTTGTGTGTATTCTATTTATGTTCAATCACTATAGTTTGTTTCATTATTTGGCCTCTTTTTGCTTCCAGGCTGGAACCGTTCTTTCAGCGTAGGAAACCAAATGTCATCCATGGTTAATTCTGTAATACTGAGGACTCGCAGGCCAACCCCTGAGAAGTCAAGGATGAGGCTTCTCCTTGCCGAAAGAAAAGGAAACTAGGTCTTGCTGTTACAAAACGTTTGATTACATCACACCAGTTCTCTTCAAAGAAAATATCAGTGATAAGCCAAAGAAAATAAGATATATCAAGAAAACATGTGGTATCCTCTTCTTTTTTATAATATTTATTTTATTTTATTTATTTAGTAATTTTGTTTGTACTTCCTGAAGAAGGTGCTCCTTGTGTAGAGATTTAGAGTACATTGGGTGCAGAGTGGTGGTTGGAGGTTAGGGTCAACTTTGCTGTCCGCTCCGTGGATTTTACAGGCGATTTGCTCTTTGCTTTAAGAAGAGAAAGTGATATTGGAAAAAGTCAGCACTTTTAGATTAAAGCAAAGCACCCTTCACAAAGCCACAAACAAGAAGCAGGACAGAAAGTCCATGGCTTGTAGCTATCCTCGCACCTGCGGAAGAAGTTATAAGATATTCGCTCATCTTGCAGATTTCCAATGCTCCTTATAAGGCTGTTTTAAACATATACATTTATTTATTTAATTAGCTCGCCAGGTTGGCTCTGGTGCCCATGAATGTCTTGGCATGCACTGCAAACAACAACACATACAAAGTATTTCAGTCCCAGGGAGGTTTTTTTTTTTGCTTTGATTTGCTTCTTTCTTTTTTCCTTGTCTTTTTAAACAATGTTACCCAATGAAACCATAAACCAAGTGGAACAAAAACAAACCACCTTCCACCTCAGAGTGTTCTTTACAAAATCATTTCCAGCATCACATCATTGACTGCTAACAAAAAGTCATCCAGTGGCAAAAGAGTGTTTTCTTGTAGCCAGGGGAGATACAGGCAAATGACTGCTATTTACAAGGGGGAAACAGACTGCCAAAAGATTTGGACTATATATTTTTTGAGAAATTGTATTATCCCAGACTTTGTTTTCTTTTTAAAAAGCTATGAAAACAATGGTCTATTTAATTATTTCTAAACCCACGACTGGAGTATGCTAGCAGAATGAAACCATTCAGGCTAGACTGATTAAACTGAAATGCTCACACACCAAGGGCATGAGTATTTAGCTTACATGCCAAGTCTCAGTGCTTGATAACTCCCTGCATCATTTGGAATTACATTCAGAATTTGAAACTAATTACTTGAGGTCAAAACTGTAAATGTAATTTGGTAGCACTGTAAGTACTACCAAACTACAAGTACAAACTACCAACTACAAGTTCAGCTTGTAACAGGTTGATGCATGATTTTATAGACATATTTTATATATTCGTCATGTATTTGAAAAGGATAAATATTATTGATGGTTACAGGCATCAGTCCTGTAACAAGGTAACAATGGTGTTATAAGCAATCCATAATGAATGATGGACTTGTAATACACTGTTGGGGTTTTTTAAAATCTATTAATCATGTATAAGATACTTTTGTAAAGAACTTAACATTAAATTAAATTGTGGATTTCATTGCAGCCCCCAAAAGTACTTTTTTCTTATCATAAAGAATATACACAATGAAAGTAAAAAGAAATCCAGACAAGTGCTCAAGTTTTTAAAGTTTCCAGATGTAACAGTTCTATGTATCTGCTAACTATAAGTGAAGCAAGAAGTCTTTCTGTTCCTGTCTTTAGTAATTTTTTCCTTTTTGAAATGGGGATTAAACTAAACCACAGATTTTAGATAAACACTGCTTGCTTTGCTAAATATGTAGTGTGAGATGTTACATACATAGCAGTTTCCATAAAACACCCCTAATCCTCTGTCACATACACAAGAATATCGAAGCAATAGTGATATTTCAATTATACATGTGTGAACTGAATTGCTAAATAAATATTAACTTTTAAATGAAAACCTGTCTCAAAGACGTTGATAACATTTTTCCAAGAGAAGCCCAAGGGAACTTTGAGCTTAGTTTCTACAGAAAGATTGGGAAGCCCTGCTGTTCTCTTGCCTGTTTGATAACCTTACTCGTACTACACTGCCATAGTTTGCTGCGCTTCTCAGGACACTCGTTCTGTATTACAAACAGGCAGATGCACAAGCAAGTTTGCTGCAACTTTTTGCTGTGTGCTGTTCTCACACCGTATTTATGATCCTGAACCCAAGAGTTCAATTTCTGGCTTTGGTTTTACTGCAGCATGACTTTGTTCTCTCTCTCTGCAAAAGCTGGCAGTTGACAGATCTTTATGAAGGCTTTTCTTTCCCTAACAAGGTTAGCAAAACTGAGTTAGAATCTTTGTTAGTGTTAGATCATTTTCTGATGTATTGAATTATTTTTAGTTGCTTTAATACATTTATTTTTTTTTATTGAACTAAGGAAACATGTCTCAATACAACTTTAAAGAGGTCTTTTGAGATACATTTTGTCTACACAAAATACATATAATGGAACTTTGAAGAAGCTCATTAATGTATTTTAGAAGAGTTTTTATAACAATTAATGATGTCACAATTTGAGAATTTTAAAGCTATGCAGAAAAGAAAAACTATAATGTAAAATAAGTTTAACTTAAAATATGTCACAGTGAGAAAAGCAGCACCGTATCTGCAGACCAAATATTCTCTGATTTTTGTTTTCATTTTTCTTTTTTTCAATAAAACAATGTGTGGAACCCCAAAGTAGGGGTAATATCTAATGCATGCAAATAACCTTTTAATTTAAAATGTTAAGTTTCTGAATAAATCATGACATCCCTCCAATTAATTTCACATGTTCTGCATCCATTTTCTTCTCTAAACAGCAAGTTTGTTTATTTTGCAGGGGATTTAGACTAGAGTACATGCAGTAGGTGAAAGCTAAAACAATTCTAAACATATTGGGAAAAATAGGGGAAATAACAACTAAAAAAAGTCAGTTTCTATGTGAAAAAGGGGCTATTAGGATTACTGGAAAAAAACTGCAACAGACAGAATCTTCTGCAAGGTTTTGGGAACTGGTTATTAGATCTTAATCTGTTTTAATAGTTTCTAAAATGCTGTTTAATCCAAACAGAGAAATTTTCAGTCATATATCAGCCCACACAAAATTTACTTGAAGTATACAGTGACATATGTGGCTGTTAGGTGTGCTCTCACCTTTTCAGTGATGCTTCATGAAATAAAATTTAAGTAAAATACTCAGTTTTCATTTTTCTTTTCCAGAGAAGAACTGTATTTTTTCTTTCATTAACCTAAGTATTTGCTTAGATTTTGCAAGAGTCAAAGCTGCAAAGGTAGAACAAGAACATAGCAAAACTGAGAGCAGCTTTTTCATATTTTTTTCCTTTTCCTGTTCTGCCATTTTGCTCACATTTTATTATTTTGTTTTTCATCTTGAAAAGACAAAGTGACAAAAATTATTCATAAATTTTCATTTTGAATCAGAATCTGGAGATCACAGCATGCTTAAATCAGAAGCTCAATTGCACTGTGTCCAAATTCAGGCTCCCATGCAGGTGTGTTTTTAGTCTACCATTCTGACGAGGACTTGAATAGAATCACCTGAACTGTGAGCATGTTAATGTAAGTTAAAATCTGTCTATCTGACTGTGGATTTGATAAACTGATTACTCATTACCCCACCATTTCAAGCATTATTTTCTAATTAACATAATGAGAGCTAAAAGAAATTTTATTGCAGGTCAACAACACTGGGTAAAGCTGAGCAGCAATTATGTAATCCTCAAAGACATTCACTCAGAAGAACTGTCATGTAATGTATGCGTCTATTATTTCTACATTATTAGTTAAACTCCACTTGATGTGTGGGTCAGACATTCTCACCACTCTCACAGTTTTACCTGTCAGCCATGGGGACCCAGTTAAATTCTTCTTGTGATATGTAAATCCCCATTAGTTGTCTTTTATTTCCTGCTCCTAACATATATCCAAAAGGGCAAGCGTCCCCAAAATACTTAGCTTTCTCCTGTAAACAAATGTTATACTGCCAAAGGCATGTGAGGATGAGTTTTTGTGCAACAGCATGAAAGATTAGTTCATGACATTAAAGTGTTTGAAAATGTGTTTTATTCGAATTTATTATTTACTTAAATGTTAAGAACACAAAGAAAAAAAATTAGCGATAAATAATTGTGACCCTAGTGTTTAAAATAAAAAAAAAAAGTCTCTGTCACAAATGCTTGTATTTCAAGGCTTGTATTTCTGGTGTAGGAACCCCAGAGCTAAACATCAATTTTGCTGTGTTAATGAAATGAATTTTAGAGCATCTAATTATAAAATAAAGCCACCAGAAAATTAATAAAAATAAAATAAATTCTTAGCAAAATGCAACTGATCAAAAAGGTAGTTACTCATTCCATGCCTGAAGGCAAACAGGGAAATGATCCCTTGCCTTCATCAAGATATTGATCAGACAAAATTTGTGTATGATACATGGGATTTGGGGATGCAAGCAGGGATGGTTTAATAATTTTACCCATTTATTTTCACAACTGGATTAAACACTGAATTGTGAATAAAGCAGCTGCCTCAAGAACTACAAATTTAGCAAATTTACCTTACATGGTAAACCACCCTGGGTCTCAAACAGTTTGCATCTGCCAGAATTGAAGTTTAACAAGTTTGGCATTCCTTGTGCTTTGGAAGGTTTAGGATTTCTCTGGGATGTAATAGCATCCAGCATTTAATAGCTGAGCCTCAATAGCTGTCAGAGCCTCTGAAAATGGTCTCCTTACAGTTGTGTGTACAATGCACAGTCAATTCTCATACAAATAACAGAAGGAATCTGAAAATTCAACAGCATTTCTTTAGTACTTTACTAAACATATAGGTTTACTTAGGGTATCCTAGAGTTTCCTTAAGTAGTAATCCACTGATCACAACATTACTAACAGTAATGCCTTAGAAGAGTCCTGGCTTTGTGCTGACCAGTACAGGAGAAATACAGCCAGTCACACAAAAGTTCATCCCAGATTCTCTGTCCAGATTACATTAGGCCAAAATATCAACACATATATTTCAAAGACATATATTTGGGCTGTGTTACGTATGAGTTAATTTTGTTGTTCTACTGATTTCTGAAATTACAGAGCTGTTGAAACCTTGGAAGCTTCATTTTTCAGAAATTTGTGCTGAGGTTTTCCATCTTTAAATGCCTGGTTTTGCAACATTTAGCTTTGCTTTATACTGTTATATTTGAAATTGAACCCAGTTGAACCCAGACAAAATCATAATTTGGTATTATTTCCAGGAAAAGTAAGTAAAAGTTCATGTGATACCTGCCTTAATTTTACTGGGGATATAAATGAACCATAAGATTACTTAGAGGATCTGTGCAGTTCTATTTCCATGAAGACGGGTAAAACCAAGTATGACTGATTTTATTTGAAGTTTTATTTGAGTATGTCTCACACAGGTTTTCAATAAATAGATTCTTCCCCTCTGGCCTACCAATATCATTCTTATTCCTCTGAATTGCATAAATTGCAATGGTGTGTATCTCC